ATATTTTTTACAAGTTTTGTGTATGAAACAAATCAATTAATCACTGTGCTGATCTAATACAAATGGACACATACATTCTATGCAGAAAAAAAGATCTAATCCTTTTAAAATCCTATTATAATCTGTGTAATATCTTGCAGCAACGAGTACCATGCACCAATTATACTCTGAAAGTACTTTCTTAAATCAACTGTACATGTTCTACCAGGCAGTTTAACTTACAGCACTTTGTTCTCCCACAGGAGCAATCAATTTTACTTTTTCCATATAATCCTCTATTCTGTTTACTACCAGTGTGTTCCTTCTGTCACATTTTTGTTTCTGCAAAAATGTTGACAATTTCAATTTTTCTTCAAATCACAGGTTTCTCTGCATCTTTATATAGTGTTATTTTCAGCATTTAGATGCTTAGTTTTATCCTTATTGGAAAGCTGAGGGCTATGGCCAGAGCTGAGCAGGCTGTGTCACCTACTTGGAGAAGCACTTTGACAGCCTCAGTGTTATTGCTTTCTATTTTGGGGAGAATAACAGTTATACAACAAAAAGCAGAGCTCTCTGCCTGCACACCAGCTCAACTGAAAAGTCTGGTTTTCTTCTTGGACAGACAAACCTGAAAGGTAATGCATGCTACTGTGGGCAGTTATGATCAGCCTTACCTTGCTTTTGTCAAAAGCACTCAACATTCAGGAAATTTACTTTGAACATAAAATAAAATATTTTTACTGCAGCTCTGTGAAAAAGAGGGAAGAGAGAGACTGCTACAGGACTTGGTAGGAGAAGGGAAGACATAGAAGGAATAAATCCAGTGGTCCTGGGGCATGAGAAGGCATAGGATTGAGGGACAGCAGTAGTGAGGACACACATCTTGCATGAAGTTTATAGCCTCTAATTGAAGTAGGAAATATATTTTAGAAATTGCCTTCAATCCAAGTGTAGAGTTCTCAATGTGTCTACATACATGTAGTTACTTATTTCCAGCATTATCAGTTTTGCTGTTTGACCTTTTGCTTGAAGGATGGAAGTTAAATAAAAACCTTAATCTATAAAATGAATATATTTTTTCTGTCAGTGTCTGCGTGCAGGGTTTAAACAGATACATACATATGAATTTATTCTTTAAATCTTTCTGGATTCAAATGAAAAGATGGGTTTTCTTCAGAAAGAAAAAGAACTGAAACTTACTTGAAAGGAAGTGGTAGATGTAGTTGGCTCATTGTTATCTGAAGCATTTCTCTTCCTTGTTGTGCTGGGGATAAATGAATGGCTGCTATATGCACAAACGTACATGACACTCAAGCTCTGCTTCATGATTTCTTATTATTAAATCTTTGAAGGCATGGTAAAGTCAAATTCCAACAGAAGGGATTTTATCCATGAAGGAATCTGGCAGACACTATTTTTGCAACTCTCTCTTAGATTATTTGTTGCTGGCATGCTTATCTTTTACACGCTACTCCACCTTATTGTCAGATTAATGAAAGAAGATGCAGCAGGCATTAATAGCCACCATCTTTGATGCTTTTTTTCCTAAGCTGAGTCTTCTAAGGAAGTCTGCTTACACAACTGTGCCGCAGGTGCATCAAACAACTTAGACATATGTTGCTCAGTTTCAGCTGCACTTGAAAGAGGCAACTGGTGACTGCTGTAGGAGAAAGTCAGAAACGACTGCCCCTGCTGAGTGCACAGCAGATACCTTACATTCCTTCAGCAGCAGGTGGCTTGTCAGTCAGCAGCATGCAGGTCCAGACTCCTTTGGATGGATATTCTCCTCCATCAGAACTGCCACAGCGAATAATGGTGCCCATATCTCAGAGGAATGGCATGATGGAGGGCAGGTAGTGAAGGAGATAGTTAAAAACATGGGCTCCTCCTGCTTTCATTAGTTCTTTGAGGAACGAGACTGTTCACATGCACAAAAATTTGTATAAGTACACCCCCAAGTATTCGAGGCATTAACAAAAATCCCAAGCATCTTGTTCATTCCAATTGCTTCTCCACCCACATTCTTCATTCAATTAAAGGATATCCTACATGTGCTTTTGTTTCACTTATTCCCTAAAGATCATTTCATCACACACACCAAGCAAAGATCTTCAGCATATTCATAGTAACATCTCAGTCAGAGCATTCAGCATTATGATGTTCCTGGCACAAGGGATGTTATTAAAGGATTTTAGAGATGAATAGACTGCAGATTTCCCCAGGGCAAGACATCAGAAAACGGACATCAAAAGAACGTGGCTCAAAATGCAGTGGGCATTACCAGCTTCTGGCAAATCCCACTAATTTCTGAACAGTAATGCTGTCAGGCTGCATTAGAGACACGTCCCTCCTGGAATATCTCTGTAAAGCTATGTTTGCTTATCCATAAAAGCACTTCAATTTCAATATCCAACCCTCTAGTTCATGTCAGCATAATCTTGACTAGTAGAAAATATATCAGGCCAAGTCCAGATACAATCTTACTCAAATCTTCCAGAGCAAACATGACACAGACTCTATAGCCACCAAAACTACATTTGTTTTCTCCAGCCATCATTCACAAACACAAACAGACTACTGCAAGCCATGCAGATCTACGAACATGTGAATATTTCTTACAGGAAATGTAGTTTGTCACATATTACACATCATCGTCACAGATCCCAACAGGATGATGCTCAGTAACAGGAATTTTTCTTTTAAATGTTTCCTTTTTTCACCAAAAACTCATTGGAATTTATTGTCTTACAGCTATTTTGAACCACCAGTAACAACTCTTAAGTAGGCAGTGAGGAAGGAGAGGCACATATACTGACATGATGTCACTGCCTGACTTATACTAGGACGTAAAAATAGTTTAAAAAGTAACATGACCAAAATTACAGTATCATTTAATTACAACCTACTTTCCTGACAGGCTGTCAGTTAATTAACAGTGTCAAAATGCTGAATCGCCTCCAGCTTCTACGTGCTTTGCAAATGACATGGAAGTCATCTTTTTAAATAGCAACAGCTTAACTGAATCTGTAAAACTCATACTGAAATGCTCTGAAAAATGAAGCAGCAGCTGAACTGATATGAAATTCCCCACACCAAAAATTCAGTAGGGAAGACAGTTAAAATCCATTTAATTTGTTCTCTGAAGATCATATTCACACAATGACATTCTTGTACTAAAAACTATTTTCTTTTTAAAAAGTTATTAAAAAGGAGCCTTAAGAGACAATGGTCTGTGCAGCTACACACATGGCCTGGGTCCAGCAATGCCACCTTCCCTCCAGCCTGCTACAATGCAGGCAAGCATTAAGCTGTTGCATGTAGGCCTACCTCCATTTCATACTGCTTTCTACTCCTGGGTGTCTGCTTTCCTCCTCCTCTAAACAGCAAACTCATTCCTAGCGCTAAATTCCTTGTTATCTTTATTGGACAGACTTTTAAATTATTTTATATAAGTTTTGCATAAATTGTAGCAAAGCTGAAGAATGCAGTGGTAAATGGACTGGATAGACAACTCACTCTGAACTAGGCAGCAAAAGATAAGAACATTGTCCAAACACAGAATTAGGCTGTCCTTTGAAGAGTAAGAAAAGGAAAAGTATCTTGAAACCAAAACAAAAACAGTGCAGCCTTTTTCGTACATTCTCATGTTTATAACAAGATGGTCCCTGTGATAGAAAGCCAGAAGAAAAAGTTTTTCTTTGTTTTCCAAAGGAAAATGAGCGTTTATCATCAAGAAAACTGCTGAGCAAACATCTCCCCCTGTAGTATGGGAAAAAGCTGAGCATCTTCATAATAAAGGAAATCTTGTCCTTTGGACAAATAAAGGAACCAAGCTAAAACAGAGCCAATGTCATAGAGCTTTATGTCATATAACAACAAGGGCATATATACATGAAGTAGAGTGATTGAATAATAAAGGATAAGGTTACAAGAAAGCAATCTGGTAATACAGGAGAAACCATGCTGGGTGGGTTCATAGCTTCATGAATGTGGCAGTGTCTAGGTGATTAACAAATTAGAGGTTGGAGAAGAAGATAGGAGAGTGGATTTCAAGATAATTTGGGCGTAGGACCGAGAGGAGCTCCTTAGCCCTTTAATTCATGCAATTGGTAAAAGACTTCAAATACTAAACAGAAAAGAGTGAGCTTCCTAAGCTGAGTTCAAAGTGTTCTTTGTAACTGAAGTCTTTGATCAAAAAACTATTTCTTTAGTAAAAATACCATTTAGTATAACAAGGTAAGAAAATGAAAGCTGACCAGTAAACAAGAATGATTCACTTTGCCAGGATGAAAAATACCTCAAAACAATTTTGGAAAAATTGCGATCATTCAACTATTTCACCTTTATTTCAAAGGTGTTGTGCTGTATGGATCCTGCTCTGTTTTCTTGTGCTAGGACACTATTGCTTCTGCTGCAGAGAGGAAGGCCAGAGCCCCACAGTGACATTTAGAGCTGCTGAGAACTTATTATTAATTTGAGCATGCATTAAATGATAAGCTCTTCAGGGAAATGGACCATTTTAATTCTGTGTTTTTACAGAAAACTTCGTAAGGAGTTAGCATTGAATTTAGCCTATTATGCAATGTGATGATGCAGCGTTAATTGCATATTGTGTTCTCCCTGACCACTTCCTTCAATATTTAAAAGACTACCCTGGAGATAAACATTAGCTCAACAGTGGCTAGAATGTCACTGACTACACCAGTTTCCACCAATGGTGAAAAATACCCCATGAACTGCAGCTGACCCAGCCAAACCTACTCATCTAAGCATACCTAAAATTCCCACTTGCAAGGTGTGATATTGAACTTTACAAGGAGTCAGGAATCCAGCAAACATTGCCATTTGGACACTAAATAACAGAATAAATTAGTGAAAAGTAATAACGTCACTGGTGTCACTGCAAAGATCTCCAAGCTGAAAAGAAGCTACTAATTACTCCTGGAAAGTTGTGACCTTTTCCCCATTGGTTCACTTCTTTTCCTAGTAAACATGGAAACAAAAGCCAGACACATGCTAGTGTGTAGTATGTCATTTATTAGGTCAGCAGTGATGGCAAACAGGGAATCAGTCAGTCTTACCACCACAGACTAGGTCCACCACTACATCACATACATGTACACACAGAGAGAACAGTCATGACTGCACACACTCCTGCTATTCCAATGAACTTCATGGCTCTGCTTGAACCATCCTGTTCTCATAGCAATATTTTGACTTCACAACTATGTGGCAACCTCTTGCTCTAGCTAAAGGATATTTCTACATTAAGTGTAATTAAGCCTATAAAAAACAGGCTTATTTATGCCTTGCCAAATCGCATGATTAAGATTTTGTGGAGTGCTGTGAGTCAGAGCACTTTGGAATCCCTGCCCAATTACTTCTTCAACATCTCAATGAGAAGACTCTAAAAGTTGTTCAAAGCTGTAACTCCAAATCAGTCAGCTGAATATTCTGAGTTTGCTTAAAAAAAAAAAAAAAAACCAAAAACAAGTGACGCTGGGGTTTTTGTTGTTTCTTGTCATGTAGGAGTTTGTTAGTAACCTATACATAGACACTGATGTATTTGGTCCTTGGATGGAAATTTAAAGGGCTAATGGGATCTACTGAATAAGAGTTATTGGGATAAGCAACTGTAGTACATTCTTATTTTTACCATGTGACTGTAAACTAGTTAGGAATGTTTGACAAAATTGGTATGTCCAAGGATATAAGATTAAACACTAACTTTGCCAATAAGTACAGCAAGAAGCTTCTGGGGAAGAGGAGCTGGAGGAAAAAAAAAAAGCAAAACTCTCAGTAAAATAAAGGGAAAACACCAAAACCAGCGAGATGTTCTGTTCTGATAAAGATCACATACTTTTGCTTTAACAGGATTACTGAACTATGATGGCAACAACTGTTAAGGCTTGTTTTTGTTGAGAAGGTAGACAATGCATCTCCTACAGCTATTTTCCACAGGAGGGGTAAGACTAATTACAGATAAGTATTTCATTATCTCCCTTATCTTGGCTTACCTAAGTTAAAATTGAAGGGCAAAAATTGAATCAAGGCACATCTCATACAGATCTTAACACAGATTAATGGCTCAGCAGAAAAACTAACATGCACAAAAAGTAGTTCTCATGTTTATTCAAGGAAAGTGAAGTCTTGTTTTGAATGGCTACTTTTCATTTACTCTTTCCTGACAAATTCTGGCTGTCCTGAGTCATTAAGAACAAAAGAACTCAAGCAGTTTTCAAGTGTTTACAAATCTTATGATGTGAGACAGCACAAACTCATGATTATAGTTCAAGGAAGAAAACAACGTGAGTGGTTACAAAGAAAGATGCACTTATTATATGTTCTTGATGAGGGTACTGTAAGCCACTGCGAAAGTGTTGGTGTAAGACATCTAAACCTTTTATTACAGCTTACTGCAAACTCAGAATATTGTGCAGATTAAAGCTAAAAAAGTACACATGGAAAAATGTCTATCAGTTAAGACACCAGTGACATTCCACTGCATGTTCCCACAGAACAAGCAATGCTGCTCAAAGTCACCAAGTTCTTAATGACAAGGACTGCACTATAAAAACTCTCTCTAACTTAAAATCATCAGGAAACAGCACGTATCACTAGGAGCAATAGATTACCCCATCAAATCTGACTTGTAGCCTTTAAAATAAAAGAATGGGTGGGATATTTTTTTATGGATACCCCATTTCAAGGTTTACAGAACTGAGTTGGAAAATCACCATGTAATGGGAAAAACTATTACAATTTCAGAGTTGGAAGTGGCTGACACAGTTTCTCAGTACAAACTGCCAATGAAAGCAATTCTGCAACTCAAAGGGCAACAGAACAAATAAGGGTTATAATATTGCTGTGTTCAAAAGTTAATAATTTACAACACAGAAACTATGAGGCTGAGAGAAAAGATGTAGCAAATACTAGAAAATGTAATGCGTTCCTTGCTTTTCAGAAAATTGACATTTCTTTCGAGTCAAAACAGAACCCTCAGCAAACTACTCAAATATCCAGTAGCAGGTTCTGAGAAATGCTGGTATCTGTCAATCAAGATGTGGAAAGCAGGCTGTGGGAAACCCTTGTTCAAAGTAAAAATTACTTTAAGCCCTGCTTTGTTTTAGAAACATAAAAAAAATGCAAACCATCAATCACTGCAACTGTCACTCACATAGAAATAGAGCTAATGCTTCAAAATGAGCAGGGAGAAACTTTGGTTCTATCATTACTCTCTGGAGACTGTAAAAACGCTGTAAGCAAGTTACAGCTATTTTCAATTAAACACAACATGTTAGAAAACCATTTGAAATAAGACTCCGTCATAGAAATGGCAATTTATTAAAGCTCAGATTGTAAGCTATTTACTGACTGAGGTTTTCAGTGAAAAGAAAAAAAATTCTCTCTCTGTCCCCCTCCCCCCCCATCACTTTTCACTTTCTAAAAAGAGGCATGCAAAACAAGCACTGGAGGAAGGCTGTGTTTGGGTGCTATGTAACTACAGAGCAGAGGATAGCTGGAGCAAAGGGTGGGTGCAATAAGAGCATGCTGAACTCATTCTGCATTCAGCTTTTTCAGCCCATGTTGTGGGCACCAGCTTGCCAGTTATGATCCCCCTATTTCACAATTAAAAGACAGTTCAAAAATAAGCTTTGAGTTACAGAATCTGACCAGATTGGTCACCCAAGGCATCAATATGGCAAAGCCTTCCTTTCTTCCAAACTCAGTATGTCTCTGGCAGTCGCACCGCAACCTCCCCTATACCACCTTGCCAAGAGAAGCCTCAGAGGCAGAAGCAGCAGAAATGGTAAAAAAAAAAAAAAAAAAAAAGAAAAAGAAAAAAAAAGCTGGTTCAGTATGTAGGGCCCATTGATGTGATGGTCACCTCTGCCAAGCTTGCCCAAAAGGACTGCAGTGCAAATGCTTCCCTCTAAAGGAAGGTTACCATTTATTTAGCAGAAAGTTAAAGCTAGTTTTCTGTCAGGTGGCAAGGCAAAGACAACCAGACGGGCCCTGAACATACAGCTTCCTCTGCAGGAATCTGAGACCTGCAAGTTCAAACACTGCTGCCAAGGCACAGGATGCAGTTTCACAAGCTGAGTGAACCAATGAAAGCAAGCTGTCAAGATAAGCAATGGTCAAGCTTTCAGCACGTGCAAGTACAACCACAACCAACCATGTGGTACAGCTTTCACAGTAGTGAAAAATAACAAAAAAATCAGGTGATTTACAACCAGCTGAGCAAGCTGATCCAGTTGGCTTCACAGGTTAGCTGCTAATTCTGGTGCTCAAGAAAGCAAAAAAAAGCAAGGCCTATTTATCTCTTTGAGGAAGCATTAGAGTGGTGCAGGCCTATCATCAAGGTTCACTCCTGGTGTGCAAAGGTGCTGACAATTATGTTGAAATTTTAAGTTTTCACTTACCTATGTTTGGCAATAATTTGCATCATTTGGAAATTTCCAGCTTCACATCTGGACTCAGAGTCAGATCTGATGTTCTCAAAATGCAGTTTGCACAACACTTCTCAGTGTCTGGAGAAAGCTGGTCACATAGCACTGGCTCCTCTTTGTATGCTAAGTTGCATCAGACAATCTAAAAATACATTAAATACTTTCTAATATTACTTTTTGACATTAGCAGTTACTATAGCTGCCACAAGGATGTTGCAAGAAAGGGTGAGGGGTCACATAACTTACTCAGTTGGAATATATACACTGACAAATCAAAATACCAGGGAATATAATTCCTTTTTATTGTTTAAACCTTTGCCTTACTATTGATACTTTATCTGCTCACTGGAGTTTTAAATAATCTCTTTTTACTGTAAGGATGTGACAGATTCATGAAGTCCATCCACAGAGAATTCAATGAAATGCTGTATAGTATCTGAGAATCTGACAGATACCAGATTGCCAAAACGGTGTCTGAGCAAACCGTGGATCTGTTGTTTAATCTGTTGTATTTAATAAGACTATTGGCCCAATGAAGAGGATGTGCTTACCACGTGGAAGTAGCCTTTCATAACATTTGCAGATGCAGCTCTTTTCTCTCAAGAGCCATCCAGACCGTTCATTCATTTACATATCACATACTTGTGTGAGGAAGGGCAGTGCTCCCAAAATGAAGGCAAGCTAAGGCACTCTAAGACGTATACATTTGTTTCTTCTTGCCAAATATAGTGCCAGAGTCCAAATAAAAGCCCAGTTCCCAATTACTACACTCTATGCATAAACCCAAGCTTCTACCCAAACATACCAGCAAGACCGATATTAGAGTTAAGTCTCTTCACTTGCTCTGCTTGGCTACCTGAATTCTTGACTGGCACTGCGGCCCCCATGTTTCTGAATAAATCCATGAAGTTCTTCAGTGTCTGCAAAGTGGTCTTTGAAAAAGGGGAAAAATAAAAAATAAAAATTACTTTATGGAAAAATAAATAGCTGAATGTGAATAACCATTCCCCTTACTTCTGAAATCGCTTCCATAAAGTTGCTAAGACTGTTGTGATGTGCTTATTTGTGCATCATTTCATTTGTTCAATTACAAAACATGGATCATTTAACTAATTAGTATAATCTTGATTTGCAGAATAATCTGGTCACTTTGGTGAACAAAATACTACTGTCTTCAAATAACAAAAAGAAGCTGATCCTAAGGGCCAGTGGAGGAATTCACTCACCCACCTTCCACCTGCAGGACAGTTTGTTAAAACCTCAATAGGTCCCCACTGTCTGGAGCAGCAGACTGATTCCAGGGAAGCCCCAGGAGAATCCTCACTAGGGGGCCCCTCAGGAGAGACATTACTTCAACTCTCACACAAAACAGCTTTATCTCACTGTGTTATAGCTGCCTCAGTTCCTTCCCGTAAGAAGCAATACACTCATCATTCAATACAACACTCAGTAAAGAAACCATTAAGACCTCCAGACCTCATTTTGAATCCAGAACATTATTTGTTAAGATCCAGGCAGAAGGGATTTCATAGCAACTCCCAATTCCCACAGAATGTTGACAAACAGTGCATTCTCAAGATATTTAAGTAGTAGTTCTGATTTCACCCTTATCCTTCCTCAGGCATTCAAGTATTCCTAGACCAGTTAAAAAAATCACCCAAGCCCTATTTTTTCACAGCTGTCAAATGTTCTTTTTACATCAACTCCTTCCACCCTACTAACATTCACGTGCAAACTCACTTATTAGCCAGTGCTGCTTAAGAAAACCCCTTACAATCACTTAGTTCCAAGTTTCCAGCACTGCTGACTGCAGGTAACTACTGCCACCCATCTTGCATGAGCCCTGCTCTCCTGTCTGAGGCCACCAAGTCACACATTTCCTGTTTGTAGCTTCCTAGGGAAATACACAAAGCTACTGGCAGCCTACTAAAGGAGACCAGTGTCTGCAGTCTCAAAAGTTTGCCAAGTTCTTGATTCTTTCTTCTTCTGTGATTCAGCTTTGATTCTTGTATACAGCCCAAGAAAAGTTTCAACCTACATTCCGCTCTTCCCAATACTATTTTAAGTCACTGCCAAGATTTTTAGTATGTCAGTAACTTTTATCAGTACCTTTTGTATGTCAACGCTCAGGTAGTGAGCAAACTACTACAGAACTGCAGTGGTTATGAAGCTTCAAGCCAAGCAAAGAATATTTTGATGCACCACCTGCCCACCTCATTGTGGAGTTTTCACCGTAACACCACAAACTGTTGTTAACTCTGCATTCCACCAGAATTTACAAACACTGTTTGAGTAATACCATGAATAAACATGAAGAAAAATAGCTTCTCCCACAAGAGCCTTGATGGTTACTTTTAATTAAAATCAGTTTAATGATTGATAAGCTCTAGTATTTCCAGCAGCAAATCATAAGTGGTTGACTGTTTTCAGGTACAGTGAGAAAACTGATAACGACATAAGCTAGCATATTTAGTTAGTTTACTGGTTGTCAAACACAGGAAAGAACGGTGGTTTAACGTGTAAGTTGTCATGACCAAGAACAAAAATTAAATGAGCATTCTGTAAGAATTAGGAAGTTAAACTATACAAGTTCACTGAATCCATCATTTACTCTTAATCTCTCACAAAATTACTTTCCGTAAACTTGCTACATCAGAAACTGTGGAGCAAAAAATTTCAGTATCTGATTAGTATTTGGAGCAAGAGGGATGTCTCATACATAAACTCAGTACAACTGCTGCTTTGAAATGTTCTCCACTCACACCCCTTAAGCAAATGGCAGAACACTATGTGTTTCCTAGTATCCTTCATTTGCTTTGAGCTTTCAAAAGCAGCAAAAGGCAACCCAGTGTGTCTGTGCACACATTATTGAAGAAATCTCTTCCTTATAAACAGAAGAATCTGCAGCTGATCAAGATTAGCCATACGACAAACCAAAGTTTCATTCAACACCACAGGAAAAACAGGAGTGTGGGTATATGAAGGTGTGAAATCCCAAAGCTCTAACACAATCTTCCCTAATCCTGCATGTATCTTCCTCAGTAGCTGTCACCAAGGGTGTATCACTGTGAAACAGTGGCTGCATCCACTCACTGCTCCCCAGCTACTGCTAGTGGGAATAGACAATGCACAAGAGGGAACTTCTCCTCTGCTGTACTGCTATTTTATTTTGTAGCAAGATCCATGTAGTATATAAAATATAACAAAAAAGAATGAACAAGATCTATAAAATGAGTTCAGATGACAAGCCACTTCAGCTCTGCTTTCATGGTTTTATCATGATGCCACCAGACTCATGTACTGTTTACTTTGTACTGTTACAGTTCTACAGCATATGAACCTACATAAAAAAGCTGATATGTTCCAATTAAGCTATAGTTAAATGACAAAAGTAGAGGAGAAAAAAAATGGCTTTCTTAAGCCACAGCTGCCCCTGACACAGGTTACAATGATGTCTAACTATACTGCAATGCACATAACATCAAGAACCTTGAAAGAGCTTCTGAGAAATCAGGTTCACATTAAGCATTTTAAAGGAAGGTCATAAATACTGCACTGTACCAGCGGTACCTCCCAATGTCCTCTTTATGCCTGAGGAGCATTTATGGGTTTTAGTAAGCTACTAAAATAGATGACACCAAACCTAGAGGTAGGTTATAGGCAAGGGTAAAATACAGGCAATAAAAAAAAAGTCCCTTTAGAGCTAGTCATTGCACAAACTACCCAGCAGGAGGCAAGGCAAAATGTCAACAACTTTTTCTCCCCACCTTAAACATCGCTCAGATGGTGCATTTAATTTCTAGTGCCATAAGAGTGACACGGGATCATCAGCTGCTAGTAAATGCAGTCATGCCAAGAGAACAGCCTGAAGGAATTCAAGCAAAAATTTACTGTGCAAAACTGGTGCACTGGACTATTACCAACTAGACCTCTAAGTTTTCCAAGTGACCTGACAGTAGAAAACCAAAGGGTTTGTTTTCATTTTGACCTAACATACCCTACATGTTCATAGGGAGAACATACTGCTAAGTCTATGTGAAAGGAGTCAAACATCAGCTTGTCTCAAAAAACTAAGGAAATGAGAAAGTAAGCTGAGAAAGAAAAAAAAAAGATCACTTTGCTGGGACCAAGATTCCTCTTTTAGAAAGTTACTGTACCAAACAAGCTGATAAAATATCTTGTCAAAGGTAACATGTGGGCATCAACACAAGGTTAATAACAAGTACTGTATACATTTCAACATGGATGAGAAATATCTTCAAGTACAATAGTTAACGCAAACTAAACCCAAATTTCAAATGGTGTAATGCCTTCAGGTCACAAAACGTGGACAAAACTTTTAACTCTACTCTTTCTGTGTACTATTTGGTGATAATCAAAAGTAACAATGCTGAAGATTCATTTTATTTCTTCTTTTGAAAGAAAAGGGAAGTTGGTTAAATAGAAGTGTTCTCCAATTTGTTCTCCACTATATGTACACCCACACACATACACACACACACATGCACACACCCCTCAAACTGCACTGACATTTTTGTTTTGACCAAAAAGAGTAGATCCTGGGAGTAAGTGCAAAATGCAAAATCAACTGACAGAAAATGCTGAACAAACAGTATCATAAAAATACAAAATATTTATATTACTGAACTATTAACAGATGATGTTCTCTGTTTCTTTAAAACTTTGGAACCACATAGCTGATTTCTTAAATCTAGTCCATGCCAGCTTCCAGAACTATTAATGATTTAGTTAGCTTCATTCTTTGATGCTTCATCAAAGTTTTCTACGAGATCTGAAAGAGATGAAGATATTTAATACAGCGATGCCCAGAAACAACAACTTCAGTTTAATGAAACTGCATTTATTATATGAAATGTTCAGTAGTTTTAAACTAGATAGTCACATACATAGTTTTCATTTTTTTTTTTTTAAGTGGGATTTGAAATAGCTTTAAAAAAAATAGGATTTGTTTGAAAATATGCAAAGAAGCAGATATACAGGAACACTCAGAGTGGAGGTTCTAACATGAAGACACTGATTTTCAGAGGTGCTCTCCTAGATGCAGTTGAGCCTTGAGCCACCAGCTTAACTACCTCTTGAGTGCAACAATAAGTGGTTGCTTAACTAGAAGCAGGTAACTTGGAAGAGGCCTGTGTATTTTTACGCAAACTCAAACCCACTGCCAGACCTGAAAATCTGGATCATCAATTCGTGTATTTTTTTGGCTAATACACTACACTGATGCCTATAAAATAATGTGATAATTTATACAGTTAACAACTAACAACTTGGAATGAAAGTTTCTCAACAAACTAAGACATTGACAAGTTTAATTTCATCTACTGCAGAAATAAAAATCCCACCCCAAAATGATTTTAAAACGACCCTCTGAACACTACGCCAAGTACATCTTTTTACAGATGTTTTATTTTCCAACCCTAAAATCTTAATCAGATATTTCACTCACACATTCAGCCTCCCTGTATTTTAAACTAACAATTAAGCAATTTCAGCAAGGCAAACTACTTTCAAAAGCTAGAATCCAGAATCATCACTATTTCAATGCTGCCCAGCATATTAAGCCTCTCTTAGCAATTGAGAGGAATAATTACATCAAGAGCCAGGTATTTAAATGCATGAATTAAGTATCTATACATTAAGTGAAAATATAATTGGATGTGCTTACCTGGGACATCATCATCTTCTTCATCAATATCTTCAGATTTTGGTGCTTTACTGTCCAACACTATAAAAAGAAATCTGGTGCTGAGTTCTCATCATACAAGATTAGAGACAACCACACAGCAAAATAAGACAATATTCTGATGAAAACAGGAGGCATTCCCCTCCATACTGCTCACCCCATTAGAAACAGACATACAAGTGATTGGGATCAAGAGCATCAAGAGTAATCAGTACGACCAAAAGATCCATTTGTGAATATTAACACAGCCATTTTCAAATGCTTAGCCATATTAATGCAGAGCTAACAAAAGATCAAATGACAAAAATCAGCAGTGACTGTACCTTCCAACTGAAGCCACATATTTTAATGCAAAGATCATGTTATACCCATCTGGAACCAGCATACACAATCAAAGAACCCTCAGAGCTTAAAGGGACTTTTAAAGGTCATCTACTCCAACTCCCCTGCAATGAACAGGGACACCACAGCTAGATCAGGCCTGACACAGCCTTGCCCTCAGTCTCTAGAGACAGGGCATCAACCAAATCACTGGGTAGCCCGTTCCAGTGCCTCACCATCCTCACTGCAGAAGACATTTTTATTATATCCAACCTAAATCTACCCTCTATAAGCTTGAAGCCATCTCCCCTTATTCTGTCATCACAGACCCTGCTAAATAGTCTGTCCCCTTCTTTCCTGTAGCTCCCCTTTAGATACTGACAGGCCATTATCAGGTCACCCTGCAGCCTTCTCTTCTTCAGGCTGAATAGCCCCAGCTCTCTCAGCCTGTCCTCATAGGAGAGGTGCTCCATTTTGTGGATCATTTTTGTGGCCCTCCTCTGGATGTACTCTAACAGGTCTGTCTCTCTCCTGAACTGAGGACTCCACATCTGGATGCAGTACACCAAGTAAGGCCACACTAGTGCAGAGTAGAGGAGCAGGATCACTTGTTGCTTTCTGGGCTGCAAGGGCACACTGCTGGCTTGTATCCACCTTCCCATCCCTTGGTAGTCCCAGGTCTTTTTCAGCAGGGCCGCACTCAATCCTTTCATCCCCCAGCTTGTATCAGTAGCAAGGGTTGCCTCAGCCCAGGTGCAAGATCTGCTTTTAGATTTGTTGAACCCCATATGGTTCACCTGGACCCACTGCTCAAGCCTGTCTGGGTCCCTCTGGATGGCATCCCCTCCCTCTGGCATGCTGACCACACCCCACAGCTTGGTGTCATCAGCAAACATGCTGAAGGCACACTAAACCCGACTGTCAGTGCACTGATGAAGATAGAAAAAGAATCAGTTCCAGCACTAAGCTCTGAGGGACAACACTCATCACCCATCTTCATCCAGACATGGAGCTACTGACCACCACCCTATGGACTCAGTACTGCAGCCAGTTCTTCATCCACTGAACAGTATGCCCATCAAATCTGTATTTTTCCCATTTGGAGAGAAGGATGGTGTGGGGTACCATATCAAAAGCCTTCCTGAAGTCCAGATTGGTGACATCAGTGGCTCTTCCCTTGTCCATTGATGCAGTGACACCATCATAGAAATCATATCATATAATTCAATTACCAAGAGGCCACAAGTGTGGAATAAGCATCTCTGCATCAAGGGTCCTACATGGAACCTACTCTTCTGTAAGTCATGGACCTCAGACCATGCTAGAAGTCATCTGAAATGCAAGAAGTTTTTCTTCTCACTGGTCCACCTAATTTAAAGCTGCCTTTCTGTCATAGTAAAGAACTACTGGTACTGAGGTCATAATAAAATATGATCATGATGATCCATCTTTCTCAATTATCAAAGGCATTTTCTTTAACCTAATAATACCATCCAATACAGTATGCAACAAAAACATTTCATAAAAGAAAACAGAATCAGTACCTTAACAAAACCTGTTGAGATTTTCTAGGTAAAACCTTCTACTTGTTTTTCTCAACTATTCTGTCATACACAGCTGTGCACCTGGAGTTACTCCACACCTGACTTAGCAGATTTCTAAGTTTTATTTTTAAACCAAGGTCAGCCTATGTAGAATCTTGGGGAAAAAAAATAAATAGATGTTTCCTTCCATTATATTTCCACAACAGAGGCTAATACAAGTAAACATGTTTTTAAGTGACATGTGCTATTAAATTTGGGTCAACATTTTAAGACCGCATTTTCTTTTTTGATCATCAGTGAAAGACTCCACTAAGACCTACCTTGTCTTGGGAACTGTTCAGCTAACTTCCTGAGACTTGTTAAGCTGTCAGCACCAAGCTGGCTTAAGATGCCTGGAAGCATTTCTGTGATCGGTTTAGCCTCTGCATGACCAGTAATTGCAAAAGTGTTAGCAGAGAGGGATGCCTGAACCTTGGGGTTGTTGAAGTGAATAACTGTTCCATCATCTTTTATCATGTTCACCTGTTCAAATACATAAAGAGCAACATTTACCAAAGTGCTGTTGAAGAAAAGTGTGATAAATTATTATTTCAAAACTAGATTTAGATATTAAAACTAAAGAAACTACAAAAGCATAGGTAATAATATAACCATGAGTACTGTGCCAAGAATTAGCATCACCTGAATCAGAAGGAAAAAAAGCTAGAAGGGAGGGCAGAGGTGGCTCAGATATACAGTGTATGAAAAGGCTGAATTAACAGCTATGGCTGCCTTAGAGAAATACAGATATCTATATAATAGAGTGATAATATACAAAGTTTGTGTGTTATCATACAACCTAGGTATGTTTTTGATGAAAGTAAAATAAAGAGGCTATTAGCCTTTAAGGCATAAACTAGTTAAGAACAGTAATGTCTCAGAAGGAAAACCAGCTCTGTGGTAACTCTTTACAAACTAAAAGCAGTAACAGAAAAGCCTTGACACAGCAGTTTAAGACACTGCCATTCCCAGCTATTTATGTCACCTCTCAGGAAACCATTACTGTTTCTGCAGCAGAATTGGCAAAAGCCTAAGACTCACGATCTGGCCTACTTGCTGAAAATGCCCAATGCTAAGATTTTCCCCTCACTTCTCTCTTACAGCACTGCAGATTTATAAATTAGCTGCACTCAAAGTGGCTTCTGTGCTCTCCTAGTAATTCCATGATGACCCTTTTGAGCCTAAGCACAATGTACAATGACTCTGCTCCCCTGCCCTAGCATTCTGAATCACCAGGGATTAAGTTTACAGCCAGCACAGCTGCCCACTTAGCTCCTACTATTGAAGCTCATACTGACACCTTTTAGCAGGTTTTATTTTTATTTTATATATATATATATTTTTTTAAAGTTAACAGAGACAGAAGGCAAAGTTCCTTTTTTTTTTCCTGGGCATGACTGAGCTATGGTTATGGAGAAAATAATTTTATCTGCAAAAAAGAATAGAGTTTACTTATACAAGCAGATGTAATCTGTTAACAATACTTCTGAGTTTTGTGAGTTTATTAGAGGTTACAGAGAAGAAATAAATTTGTCAACTGAAGAATATCTCTAAAACATGTAAGTTACCAATTTTCAAGGTTCAAAATATGTTTTGATCAGAATTTTTTTTTTTTTTTTTTTTACACGGAAAAATATGCACCCCTTTCCTACATAACTAAGGGGAAGTGATGAATGCTTTAAGCCCAGTCATACTCAAAAGTCTCTTCAAAACAAATCACAAAAAATTCTCTGCCTATGTTTGACTCAACATTACAATCCTCCTCAGCTTCTATGTATTTATGTCAATTTGGGTCTACCTGAGTAATACAGCAATATACTGTAATTATGTACCCAGTTGTCAAGGTTAAAGAATTTTGAACAGTCTTCCTCCATGTCAACACATTTTAAGTCTTAACTGTGTCTGAATGAAGATTTTATGCTCTGTGGGGGGGCAAAAAGAACAAAGACTGTTTGTCTGGCACATCTTCTAACACACCATACTCCAGTAACAGACAAATTTAAAAGTTTTTGTATCAGTGGTATGAAGGCTTCCAGGCAAACCAGGCTTCTACTGAATCTGCATTTGCCTTTGGAGTGCACAGAGAGGCCTCTGGGTCATCTTGTAACCCTGCTTTAATTAATCACAGATTAAATATTATGCTTTTTCAACCAAGCAGTGCTGTAATATGGAGCTTGTGATGAAGGAACACCACATCCTCCCACATATAAGCATCACAGTCTCTAAAGCATTTTGGAAAGAGTTTCTATTCCAGTTCATATTTTATCCTGAAAAATGAATACACACAAAAATGGTACAGAATACCTGAAGCCTTCTATTCCAATACAGAAGCTGCTTCTGTAGAGTTTTGCTAGTACTGTAAGAAATACCAGTCTCCTGACTCTACCAGAAACAATTCTGGTTTTACTTTGTGAAAGTAAAAGCATCCAGTTTCAATAACATGAACTTGTAAGTTTCTATTCCAGCGATTTTGATTCCCTCCTTTGTGTTCTGCACCACATAAGAACTGAATGTGCTTGTGCAATAAATACACACTCACTGCCCTACTATTAAAATTAGGTAATTTCAGTTCAAGAGGTTAAGAATCAAGAGCTCTTTTGTTCTGCAAGTAATGCAATAGACATGTACCACAAGCAGCTTACTACCTCCTGTGTTCACTGTCTGGACAGTAGAACCTTTTCCCTTCTCTTTCTAGATATGTACACATTAATGTAAATGAGACAAATTAAAAAAACATCAAGTAGCTTCACCTACACATAATCAGACGTGAGTTTGAGAAAGAAAATGAAAGTAAAAGACAACACCAAATCACCACAGTGAATTTCACACAGGAAATACTATCACTATACCTCCTCAATGCCAGCAATGTTATTTACTGCCAGTTTTTTGAGTGAACTCTGAAGTTTTTTGTCATCAGCTGTTGCTGTTCTGTGCACCACCTTCTTCTTTCTGCGAGCTGTTCCCTGGAAAAGAATCAAGAGAACAGCCTGCAACACTCAAATTCTCACAACACTTTTGATTTAAAGTCACTTCACACTCAGAAACATCTCTTTTTTGAGCTGTAATAATGCTCTGTAGCAGAAAACACTTCTCAACTTTCTTTACTTATAGTTTTAGCTGCCAGTCCCTATCTTAAGATTTTTCATAAGTATAAAAGATAGAAGAAGCACAGCAGAAATATTTCTTTTCCCCCCAAAGCTGTATTATAAAAATATTAACTTATAAGCAGTATATAAAAATGCTGTCTGAAAACTTCATTTCATCCAAGACGAATCAAATCTAAAAATCCACACTTCTCTAAGTAATCAGTTAACACTTTTTAACTGCTCCAAAGACAGCAATTCTAGAATTTCTAATTTGCAAGCTTTTATACAGCCCCCCAGACCTCTGTCTATGGTTAGGAAATGAATACTCGCATGGAATCATCCATATGCTTTCTTTGTCATATTACACACTGGCTGGCACAGATGAAAGAAAGAGCTGAGTGCACGGTCAGATAAACCCTGGAACTGATACTAGAGAAGAAACTCCACAACAGGCAGAAGAGAAAGAGCGCAAACAGGCAACAGGTAAGCTTAAGCTGAGCATTCACAGGTCACAACAAGTCATCAATTTAGAATGAGCTTACACTCTGAAACTACTCATTCATAGCTGTGAACTGAAATAAAACTGCTTTTCAGGTAGTAGTAAGATGTAGACCATTTCAGGTCCACATCACATGAAGAAATCTTTTTTCAGGCCTCTAAATGCCCTCTCATGAGGAGTTTCTCTGAGCCCACAGATCCAATCACAGGAAGTACATCTCTCGTGGCTTTCTTACCTTTCCTCCTATTCGGACCTGAGCTTGAAGCTTGGCTAGTTTTTCTTGATTCATAGTGTTGTGTCTAAAGAATGAAGTACAAATACAAGTTAACTATCAAAATATTAAGAAAAAAAAAAATCACGGAAATAACACAAATACAGAAATAAGAGCACACCGTGCAAGTAACACAAAGCAGCTCTGCAGAAGAAGCATCTGCACCACGATGACGCAAACCAACGCTACGTTTGATGTTGCCTCAGTTGGAGGCAGGAACTGTAGATCCCCAAGTCTGTCAGCTCGCTGCCGGACCCACCTCGCTCCTGACTCACCCCACAACCAGCACGGAGCTCCCAAGGAACGCGCCTTTGTGCTGAGCAGAGCCCAGGGGAGGCTCGCCCCTGAGCCACCCGATGCGCTGCTCCCAAACAACAAACCTACCGCAGATCCCTGCAGCTAACGAGCTGCTCCAAAGCGAAGGAGGTTCGCACACTGCCACACTACCAGCGCGGACCTCCGGCAGCCATTGCTCCAGCCCAAAGGCTAACAAGTAGATCGGCCGGGCCTTGCCGTGGGCCAAGCGCAACCTTTAAAGGCCAAAGACACGAAAGCTCGGCGCGGGCTGAACAACGCCTGTGCCGCAGGAGATCGGCCCCGGGAGGCGGAAGGCGCGCCGTGCCGGAGCGACAGAGGGCCGGAGGGCTGCAGCACGGCCGGGCCCGGCGCGGCGGGCGGGAGGACAAAGGCCGCGCATCCGAGCGGCCCGCGGGACGGCGCGGCCCCGCGGATACGGGACACGGCAGCTCCGAGCCCGGGCACGGCCTCACCGCCGCCCTCCGCCCCTCAAACAGCGCCCGGCTCACGGGAGCGGGACGGAGCCGAGCGCCGCACAGCCGGCCGGCCCGCTGCTTCACGGCCGTGCGCGGCGGAGGGGGGGGGGGGGCGGGCGCGAGGCGCTCTCACCTGAATTCCGCGGCCCCTCCGCAGCCCAACACGCGGTGAGAACAAGATGGCGGCCGAGGAAGGAAAGAGCGCCGCACAGAGAAAGGAAGCTTCGCGCCACGTGACGGCGCTCAGCCGCCCGCCCCCAGCCACGGATTGGCGGCGGCGCCGACAGAATTTGCATAGCGGCGGGGGCGGGAGCGGCGCGCGCGCCAGGGGCGCGGTGCATGCTGGGAGTTGCAGTCCGCTCCGTAGCTGACATGGCGGCCCCCAGAGGGCCCGGCAGCACCGCCCACATCCGCCTTGCGTCACTTCTTGGGCTTTAAAAAAAAAAAAAAAAAAAAAAAAAAAGGAAAGGGAAAAAGATCCCTGGGGCTGCTCCGATCTCCTCTCTGAGCTTCAAGGCCCGTTCAGAAGACGTCGCTGACACCATGAGGGCTCAGCCCGCCGCAGCCTCCGTCCTCTGCCTGTGCCTGCTGATGGCCGCCGCCGCCGCCGAGGGGCTCGGAAAGGGTCAGCACACGTTTCCTTCGGGCTTTGCCCTCAGCTTCTGGCGTTGCCGTGAGGGCTCGCGGGGGTCACTCGGCGGGTTGGGGCTGTTGAGGCCGGGCCGGAGCCGCCCTGAGCCGCAGCCCCACGCGGCTGGGGGAGATTTGGCCCCTCGGAAGCAGCCCCGCCGCCGGCTCCTGGTCACCGTGGCGCGGTTCCCCTCTGCCCGGCCTGCCCTCCTCGTGGGCTGCCGTGGGCAGCAGCTCGGGGCTTCACTCGGGGTGGTCGCGCAGAGTTGCCCTGAAGGCGGATGTTCGCTGCAGGGAGTGCCTTGAGCCTACGCTGCAGGGCTCTCTTAGAACAGAGAGCCTGTTCCGTCCCTGTTCCGTTGTGATGGCCTTTGAATGAAATGCCCGACGTGTCCGTATTCTGAGTAAATGCGACCTGTTAGCCTTACGGCTTCCAGCTCCCCTCAGCCCATGCAAGCTTGGACGTCAATGCCTTGCTGGTAGCTGGACTAAATATTTGTTTTGTTGTGTCATATGTGTTCACGGTAGTTTGTACTGGGAGATAAGCTGAGGTCATAAAAATACTGTGCCAGCAGTTGTAGTTTCCCAGATGCTAAAGGAAGATACCACAAGGCTTTGCTCCACTCTCTGCAGTTTCTTTGCTACAGGTGTTTCCTGGAGGTACTGCCTGCCATGGTGCCAACACTGGGCAGCTCGTGGCTCCCGATCCTGTGCTGTAGCTCCCCAAATTGTCCCCTTGGTGAGGATACAGCCCGTGCCATGTCGCTAAGTTATCCCAGCCCTCAGTGATGGGAAGGGGAAAGCCATGGCTGAGATTTGCCTTTCAGCACCCCCATATCACTGCAGCGATGGGACCTTTGAGGAATTCTTCAAAGAAGGCTCCCCTTATCTCAGATCTCTTCTATCACAGCTCTTCATGTGATGGAGGTGGCCAAAATTGGCAGTCTCTGTTTTCCTATTGTTAGCACATTAGCTGACAGAACACTTGATACCTGCTTATTGGATACATATTTCCCATGTTGTTTGGTCACTGCAACACTCAGAAACCTGCATAGCAGTGTTCTTTTTTAGTCTTTGATGTCAGTCATCAGCAGTGGTAGTATTTAGCATAATAGTTTTATAGCATATAATAATCGTTTATTGGTCTAGGTGTATCTGATGTTTGCTCCCATTCACTAAGATTTAGGAAGCCAGATGGTGACATGTTTAATTTGTCATCAATCAGTTAATGTTCATAGGTTGAGAAACAATAGGGAATAATCAGAAGGCATTTCAGTTTTAAGCTTTGCTTGGGGAATTTTTTTTTTGTCCTTTGCATAGCTGTGAATATTCATGAGAGTGTGATTTGTTTTTGTTAATTAATTTCAGTGGGATTCCTCAATAAAACTGTGTAGGTTGTAAGTATTCACAGAAATCTTTCGAGGACTGCAATTATAATTTCCTTTTTAAAAAAGAATATATTATGAACTGAAAATATTTTGGAGGGTTGTTTTCTTCTGATGACATGTTAACTATGCAGCATTTCTAAAACCTCCTTTCTGGCAGGTTTTGGAGATCACATTCACTGGAGAACACTAGAAGATGGGAAGAAAGAAGCAGCAGCCAGGTATGTTACTTACTTATGAATACAGAAAAGAGGCGTTAAAAGTTCACCCAGATTCTGTACCAATGCTAACCAATCCTAAATTTAACCACAGGAAATACAAATTATTAACAAAGGTATAGGAGACCGCTCAGATCCCTACAGCTTACTAGAGAAATAAAAAAAAAAAGGAAGTTTTTTTTAACGTTGCTGAGGAATCACCTGTGTTTAATCACTTCAGTTAAATGAGGTTCTGTCACGTCTCCAAAGTGAGAAGAAACCCACAAACTGAGGCTTAAGGGCTACTCAGTTTCCTTGAACTCATCCGTGCTCACTGCATCTTTTATGTTTCTCTCAGAATCTTATCTTTTTTGTGTTAAAACATGAGAAATGAAGCTGTCTGTGCATCAGTTCTTGTGCTTGTAGCTACATGATTGACGTGAGTTCCTCTGGCTGCCCACAGTCCTGCCAGCTGAATGCAGGGCACTGCTCGGGGGTCTGCTGAGCATTTCTAAGCGGCTATTTTAACGCTTATTCCATATATCTGTACCAAAAGAAAACGGTCGCAGCTTTCGCAGGAATAATTCTGGCTCTGCTTTGCAGTGAAGCAGAGTTAGTAGCAGGCACGTTGGAAGCAGGCGTTATGCAGCATGAGAGGCTCTGCGCAGAACCCCCGGGGGGCCGGGCTGTGGCGCAGGCCCGGGGCGCTCCGCGTTGCCATGGCGACGGTCCGCCCGGAGCGGAAGCGGTGGCGGCCGCTTCCGGGTCAGCATGGCGGCGCCGGGGCGCTGAGCGCGCGATGCCGTTGGTGGTGCTGTGCGGGCCGCCAGGCAGCGGCAAGAGCCGGCGCGCGGCCGAGCTGCGGGACGCGCTGGGAGGAGCTGAGCGGCGGGCGCACGTCGTGGCCGAGGGGGAGGGCGGCCGGGCGGCTCTGCGGGCCGAGGTGGAGCGGCTGCTGAGCCGGCGCGACGTGGTGATCGTGGACGCGAGCAACGAGCTGCGGAGCATCCGCTACGAGCTGTACTGCGCGGCGCGGCAGGCGGGCACGGCGCGCTGCCTGCTGCACTGCGTCGGCGGCGGCCCCGCCGAGCCGCCCTTCGAGGCCCCGGACCCGCGCAACCGCTGGGACCGGCCGCTGTTCGCCGTGCGCGACGAGGAGCCGCTGCCGCTGGCCGACATCCGCGCGGCTCTATTCGAGAGCGCCCCGCCGCCGCCGCACCGCGCCACGCGCAGCCAGCCCCTGCAGTCCGGAGGCTTCCTGCACCTCCTCGACCGCGCCACGCAGGACGTGGTGGCCGCTCTCGTGGCCGCCCAGAGGAGCGGGGCGCAGCCTGGAGAGCTGGTGCGCGTCCCCGGCGTGGAGGAGGGGCTGGTGCTGCCGCGGCCCGTCAGCCTGGCCGAGCTGAGCCGGCTCCGCAGGCAGTTCATCAGCTACACTAAGATGCAGCCCAGCGATGAGAACTTGGCGCAGCTGGCCGGCATGTTCCTGCAGTACCTGAGCCGCAGCATCCAGTGAGGAGCAGCTCCTTCCCGTCCCGAAGTGCTTGCAGCTGTAGGAACGTGCCCTCCTGCCGTGCACCTCAACACTGTGTGACCCGTGTGTCACATAGCACGGCCTGTGACAGTGCTGAGAAAGCCAGTACCGTGGTGCTGCAGCAGCTGTTCTCCTAGGAGGATCTGTAGGATCTCCTTGTCCTCTCTACTGCATTCTCCCCATGTCTTTCTTGTTTGCTTGTTGCATCCTCACACAGCTGAAGTCTCCTATGGAGACTCCACCTCAATACTAATGTAGCGACTGAGCATGAATGCTTCAAAGCGGTGAACATAAGGAGAACTCCTGCCCTCCTCATTGCCATGTCTGTGTCTTGAATAAGAAGACTGCTGTTCCAGGGCTGCCTCCAGATATATCAAACTGCAGTGGGGGACTTCAGTTCCTGGGCTGGAAGAGGCTGTATTTTTGGAACATAAAATGTTTTTCAAAATCCTATTGAAGCCAACAAGTAGATTTGCAAACTCTGCACAACAGCAGGAAACTTAAACCTCTCATTTCAAGTTTAACAATAAAACATGTGCCTTAGATGGAACAGTCTTAACCTTAAACTGTTTTATTGAAACAACTTGCTATGGCTTTTCTCTGCAAGGTCATCATTAAAAGCTTTTAAAAACACTAATTGTTTATGAGTGAGTGCTCTTGAGCTTGTTTAGAGAGGATGAGCTGTGATGGCAGTGTGCTCTGGCCAGTGCTCTAAGTCTGCACTGGTTGTGACTGGGTAATTATTTTTGTCAGTCAAAAAGAATAAAACTGAGGAAGCACATGCAGTATCTCTAAAACTTGTGTGATTTCTTGCTGGCTAAGCGTTTATATTCTAAGACTGAGCAGTTGCATTTAAAATCTGCATAGAAAATCAATCAGTACATTTTTAAGTGCAGTGCAGTACCAATTGCAGCTGCTTCTGGTAACTCTTCTGACATGAAGATCCTTGATGATAAGAGTAATGTCAATTTTCCAGATTTAATTCAGCATTTAATTCCCAGAAACTGGGGAGGAAAAAAAAAAAGAAAAAGTATTGTTAGGGTGGGGACACGGATATAAAAAGAGCTTTGCCAGGGAAATGTGTATTCTTGCTCCTTGCTGCAAACAAAGTCCTGTGTAAAGATGACAACGTATCGCTCAGTTACAAATGGCAGACTTGTGTTGGACTATTGTAAATGTTTATTGCTTCCTCTCTGCCCTTTCCTGGTTCTGAAGGCTGAAAGTTGATATTGGTAGGGATTTTCTTCCTTACCAATCTTCAGCTAAAAGAAGAACCTAATTTTAGGTTATTCGAAATGCTCTGGAAGCTATAGCACTATTACTAGTTTCCCTTGGATATTTTTCTATTGCTTAAGGGATTTAATGATAAGAGAAAAAGAGTCATCTTCCCATTTCCTTGTTCTTAGTCTTTTTGAACTTACTGTACTAGTTAGCTTTTGCCAGTGTGAAGTATTGTACTACTAGATGTGCTCAACAGCAATAAAAATCACCTATAGGTATGTCACTTTTTTCTTGTTAAGAAGGTAAAAGATATAATAGTCAAGATATTGAGAGCTGTAAAGATGGATTAATTGAATCACAAGTATTTACAGCAATAAATACGAGGAATTTTTTGTGTTTAAAGTCTCTGTCTAATCACATAAAGTAACCTGAGTACATTACCAAGGAGCTTAGAGAATTCAAACTTGTTAAGCTTGACTAGAAGGTGAAATGCTGAGGGGCTTTTCAGAACATTAGGTGATGAAAACAACATCCAGATAGTAAAGGTAGTGACTGTCAAATGAATTAATTGGGAAGAGAAATGAATAACATTCCCATGGTGTACCTGAAACACTCAGTACTCTGAATAATCCTTCACAAATGACCTTTCTGTATTCATTGAAGTTAGGTTCCTAACTTTTGTCATTTTACATTGCGCTTTATTTAGGCTTCAGTTCCACACAGACTCCTTCCTTCTCGCTTCTCAAACTTGTCACAGGTTTATTTCAGCATACTAAGTTAAGGGCAATTAGCCTGGAAGCTGAAGGGTTTGCCAGTTTACTGTGTGTGTTTATTGCTCAAAGGAGGATCTCGATCATGGGAGGCAGTAGCAGGAAGTGTCTGAACCATGCAGACAGCTGTGGGGAGAGGGGTTGATGGATGACTGTCATTCAGTGGATTATGTTAAGCAGCTGTGTATATCCCTTCTGAGATCTCTTCCATAGCTGGTGTGGCTAACCACTACTAATTTCCTAAGAAACACATGACCAGTTGTGCATCCATGCAAATCTGAACAAATGAGAGCAAACCTTCCAAAGAGAAAATCTCCTACTCTACTGGAGTGGTTGGTGATTGACATTTCTAATGAACTGTTCTAATGCATGTTTAAGATTGGAAAGCTTTTTGCAAGGCAGCAAAACCTTAGAATACATTAGAATCTCTCTGCATTTTCTATTATATTAAGCCTTTGTAGTGTCTTTGACTGTTAAAATGTACAAGCAATAGAACTTATAGTTGAGAGGCTTGCATGTAAGCTATCTGACATGTTTTCCTTTTTTTCCCCTTTTTTTGCAGTGGTTTGCCTCTTATGATTATCATCCACAAATCTTGGTGTGGAGCTTGCAAAGGTGAGTGAATTTAATACTAGAGCTTGATGAAATTCCCGGTGAACTTTTGCATACAAATTGTGTAACATGAGAAATATGAACTTTGCGTTCAAAATGTGCTTAGCTGTATTTATATTTTGTTCAGAGCAATGTAGTATCACACCACTTCAGCTATTAGCAATGCCAAAAGCCAGCCTTGTGTAAATGCCAGTGAAGTAACAGCTGCATGTCTACAGTGGCTGCAGTTTTTCCTGCACTTTGCTAGAAAAAAAAATTGTAGAAAATGATTGATTTGAGAGTTAAGAGCAAATTACCTTACTTTCAGACACTGGTTCTCAGAATGCTGGGCTTTGTCTCCTTCAGTATTGCAAAAGAACATGTGACTAGGCTTAAGATGAACAGGCTGAGTGAGAAATGGTGGTTTACAGCAAGCTTTTGTTTCTGTTCCATTGGTTCAAAACTGATGACATATGGCTGATGGTTAAGCTTCACTGCGTGGCTGCTCAGCAGGGATCACTTCTCTGCTGTTCTGAGCCTGGCTTGAGCAACTTGATGCATACATTCCATTTCCCTATTGCTCACTGAAAAGTACCAGCTCTCTGGAGGGAGGAATAGAGATTTTTCTGCCTACCTGAAAACCTGAAATATTTTCCATTGTCTTTCAATATTTTCTCTATTTATTTTTTTCTTTTTTAATTAGCTTTGAAGCCAAAGTTTGCTGAGTCTAAGGAGATCTCTGAACTTGCTCATAATTTTGTAATGGTCAACCTTGAGGTAGGCCACACTCTTATTTGTACCTATATTACTGCTTAGTAATAAAGCGTTTTGAATCCTGCTTAACTGGTTGAATCTGTTTCTTTTCTATATCCTAAGTCTTGCACCCCTGAGTAGATATGCAAGACTGATTGATAAAGCTAATTGTTTTGAAAATAATTTTCTTCACTGTAGTTATTTTAATTGCATTTATAAACCTGACTCTCCACTGCTGTCTCTTTAACAGTTTAATCTTGTTTGTCCCTTGCCACAGGAAGGGGATTTATATTCATTCTCTCACAATGTATCAGACATTCCTACACCAAAGCAGAGTGTTTAATGCCCACTGATATTTCATAAATTCTACTTCTTTAGGGGAAATTACCTTATTTCATTTGAAAGTGGAAATAGTGCAATACCTGTTGTCTGTTCAAGATGTAAATTATTCAGGGTAACTGGAATCTGAAGGCTTCTTTCTTTAAAATGAGTGCTGTGTTTTATTACATCTTGCTAACACATTCCCTCTTTTCTGTCTTGCTTTTGTAGGATGATGAAGAGCCAAAGGATGAAGCCTTCAGTCCCGATGGAGGTTACATTCCCAGAATCCTTTTCATGGGTAAGACATGTGCAGCTGTTGAACCCACTCACAGGACTGCATTCTTACTGTTACCACCTATATTTCCTGTTTGATTTCTTTTTTTTTTTCCAAAGATCCCAGTGGAAAAGTCCACCCAGAAATCATAAATGAGAAAGGAAACCCCAGCTACAAGTATTTCTATACCAATGCTGATCAAGGTATGTGAGAAATAACTTGAAGTACATTTTTAGTGAGATGGATCTGTAGATGTGTCTTGAGTTAAGGACAGCACCTTCATTTTTAAGTGGAGAAAAATTATACTTCACAGTGTAAGGGAGCTGTGAATTACAGCATGAGTGAGTGGCTCTTCATGCTTTGAGGAACCATATTTAGAGTTATGATTCACTTTAAAACCTACAAAATGTTTGTAGAACCTAAGCATTCTCCTTTTGTTACATGGAAAATCATGCAACTCACAAAGAATTGGGAGAAGAGCACAGGGCTTTTTCGTTTTGGTGTTATTTTTTGCCTTAGGTTGCTTTGCCTTAGGTTGCCTTAGGTTGCTTTTTGCCTTAGGTTACATTCTGTAACTCTGTTGGTTTAAAATACTTTCATTAGCATGGCACCTTGACATTTTTGTTTTGAGATTAACAGTTGATCTCTCTCTGATCTTTCAGTTATCCAAGGGATGAAGGAGGCCCAGGAGAAGCTAACAGGTGATGCTTTCAAACAAAAACACCTGGGAGATGAACTATAATGGAAAACACTCAGTTATGCTTTTCCATCACTTCAGTACTCTCAAAGGAAACAGTTAAACAGACCAAGAATGTAGATGCACTGAAGGGACATAATTCTCCTGTCAATAATGTTAGGTTAAACCCTATTTGGAGTTCACACACATGCATCAGCTACAGTGTTATCTCCTCCTCTGCCTGGCAGTGTGTACTATAATGGTTATTTGCAACCAGGTAAAGGCAAACACATCAATTAGTGTTTTTGATATTAAAAGGGAGGTTTGTAGGACAAAACATTCATTTGAAGACAAAAAGCATAATTGAAATAATTGGAAGCAGCCAGCATTTTGACATATAATCAGGGGTGGATCTCTCATTTCTCACTGGTATTATGTGATCCCATTGTTTTTACTGGGGTTCCTATGAATGGGGCATGTTCCTGGGCCAGGTGTTTTCTAGACCTCCCGAACCATGAATTCTGCCACTAAGCCAAGTAGAGTAAATTTCATCAATGTTCAAGTAGCATGTGAAGTCATGAGCTCTGCAAACATATTTTTATGTAAAATTCTGTGTGATTCATCTTTATTTGCCTCTGGGCAGAAATTGAACTTCTTTCATGTGCACTCACCTTTTGATTGTTTCATCAAGTGAAGGTGGGTTATGTTGAAGCATTATGGGGAATTCCCTTTTATTTTTTGAATGTTTTCTGGTGAATGCCTTGCCATCACATTGTACTGTATTTTTGTACCAGGATGAAGAATAAAAACTTTTTAAACATAAGCATGCTAAAAGTTTTTCTTTTTTCTTTTTTCTTTTTTTTTGTTTTTGCGAGGAACATAGCTTCCTGTTCTTAGGGACTGGCAAATGTATTTTTGTTTACATTGCAGTGGTTATTAGTGTTGAGTGTCACAGCTGAAGGTTTCTCCTTTGTGTAATTAAAAGACAAGAAATGCTTTTCATGTAATAACAATTCAGCCATTCCTATACTATATATACTGTTAAGGTTAAGGTAATATCACAGAATCATAGAATAGCCTGGGTTGAAAAGGACCACCACCAACCCCCCTGCTATGTGCAGGGTCACCAACCACCAGACCAGGCTGCCCAGAGCCACATCCAGCCTGGCCTTGGATGCCTCCAGGGATGGGGCAGCAGTAGTGGCAGCAGGCTTCCAAGTTGATGTCGCTGTGTCCTCCCCAGCTCTGCCAGTCTCCTTTGTGACATCACAGAGCCGGGCTTGACATCAGTCTCTGTAGAGTCACGTTGGCCGTCTCCCGCAGCACAGATACGCAGGGCACTCGCTCTGTACTGGTGGTTACCTCTGGTGCTCTGCTCAAGGTAGCAGCCACTTTGTGTGTTGAGATTGTTTCTTGGGAGAGAACAGGATGAAAATCACCGTGACTCTCTCCCTGACTGTGGCTCTGTCCATAGTATCATTTCTCAGAGATGGCCTTGGCCGTTTCAGCTCTCGTGGCCAGGTCTCTGACAGCGAGAAAAAGCTGGCCCTCCCTGAAAAGCAGCTGCCCACTGACACCCAGCACGAGGCCTCCAACTTGCCCTGTTGGCTTGGCCTGTCCGCTTGCCCAAGACGGGTCCGGTACAGGCTGAGCAGAGTTGTCAGTGCAGAGGTCCCAAATCAGCAGACCAAAGGCATGGAACAGGAGGCCTTCAAGGGGTCCTGGTGGTCTGGCCTTTCAGTGTACGCTACCAGGGTCTGGAAGAGTGTCAGCAAGATGGTCCTCCCTCAGGAGCAGCAGCCTGTCTACACTGAGCACGAGGCTTCAAACTGGCCCTGTCGGCTTGGCCTGTCCACTTGCCCCAGACGGGTCCGGTACAGGGTCAGCAGGGTCATCGTCACAGAGGGCCTGAAGCAGGAGCCCCTGGGTATGGGGAAGAAGTCCTTCAGCTTGCCCTACCCCCTGGACCACCTCTGGGGCTACATTGCCCAGGGGGCATTAGCTTCGCTCATTATGGAGGGGTTGTTAATCATCTTCATTCAATACCTACTGAGGATTGCTCATGGTTCGTGGAGTTAAGCAGAAAGACCTCTGGAACAGGTGAGAGATTGAGATGCATTGCAGAGGAAAGGGGGCTGCTGGTGGGGACAGGGAACCACAGAGACCTTGTCTGCAAAAGCTTTCAAGGAGAGCAGGTTCCCAGAGGTCCATTACCTCTCCCCAGGGACTCGCTCATTCACAGGGTGACACCCACTGGAAGCCCCCTGTGGAACATGGGGCCTGCTGGAGCTGGTGTGAGCCCCATGTGCTGCACTGAGCAATCCTGTGGGGGTAAACTACCTCCAAAGAAAGCTGAGCCCTGGAAGATAATTCTCTGTAAAACAAGCCTGCTTCCCTTTCACTGTGCCCATGTTCTGTCACTTCCAGGGATCAGGAGAAACAGTGTGAACTTCCATGGGAGACTGTCGGAGAAAGGAGACTGCTGATGGTTACGACCTGGTTTGAGATGAATAAAAGGCACACTTACTGGAGGATGTGTCATTGTGGTGCCTGGGGTATGAGCAGCACAAAAGGCGGTGCTGCAAGAGACAGCTGCTGTGTGCGGGTTTGGGGGCACGGGCCTGGGGTGAAGGGAGGGAGCTGGGCTGGGAGAAAAGAGGCATCTATGACTGTGAGGAAGCACAGGCACAATGAGCCAGAAGAAGAGAGCACATCGTGATAGGATGCCCATGTTCCACGAGAGATCACCTAGAGTGACCTTGAGTACACTGGGAGGTCCAGTGTCCTAATAGGCACACTGGCTAGCCTTTAAGGCACCTTAGAGCACTTCGAGAAGCTCTGGAAACATTTTGGCATGCTGTAGACATGAACACTGGGCTGTTCTGAGAGGCCACTGGGGCACACTGGGATGATCCAGGGCACCACAGAACACACTGAGGAGCTCTGAGAGCACTCAGGTTTGCCCTTGGGTATACTGAGTATCACTTGAAGTCCTCCAGGACGCTCAGGGAAGTCTGTAAGTGAAGTGTGTCCTCCCTAGCCCACCGGCATCTGGGAGTAGGTCTGCAGGGGGAATCCTTCCATGGAGCAGAGAAATGTCCCATGCTGTTCTTTCAGGCTGTGCTTTGGTCCACAAAACTGGGCTTTCAAGTTCATAGAATCATCATAGAATCATAGAATGGCCTGGGTTTGAAAAGGACTATAATGGTCATCTAGTTTCAACCCCCCTGCTATGTGCAGGGTTGCCAGCCACCAGACCAGGCTGCCCAGAGCCACATCCAGCCTGGCCTTGGCTGCTTCCAGGGAGGGGGCATCCACCACCTCCTTGGGCAACCTGTTCCAGTGCGTCACCATCCTCTGTGTGAAAAACTTTCTCCTAGTATCTATCCTAAACCTCCCCTGTTTCAGTTTAAGTTCATTCCCCCTTCTCCTATCACCATCCACCCATGTAAACAGTTGTTAATATCCAGTGGTTTTCAACTGGAGTTGAAAAGAAAAATAGAAGGGAAAAAGTAATCTAGCTTGACTTTCTGGTATCCGTGCATTGCTAGATCTTGTTCAACTTGTTTTTCATGTGGGCCCTAACTTCTTCTGCAAATCTGCCTTCCAACCTGCTGTACCCATGGGTTCTTTGTTTCCAGGTGAAGAACTCTGCATTTCTCTTTGTTGAACTTCCTGATAGCTCTCTGCCCATTTCTCTGCCCATTTTCTCTGTTGAGGTCCTTCTGAACGGCAGTACAAGTGTCTGATTATCATCTGCCAGCTTGCCTAAGATGGCCACACCTTGGTTACTCCACAACTGACGAATCCCTTTGAGCCTAGCAGTTCTGCCAGTTTTCAGTTCACTTCACTGTCCATTTATTTAGCCTGTACTAAATCCATCTCTCTGAGAATGCTATGGGAGACAGCTGAAAGCCTTACTAAAGCCAATATAAACCACACATGCTGCTCTTCCCTCATCTACAGAAACCCTTCATCTAAAAGGAAAAAAATCCTGTCTGAAAGGCACTTGCACTGACTTCCAACAACAAATGGAGAGTTTTCAACAGATAATTTTTGAAAATCTACCCGAGGACATTTACTGGGGATACAGTAAACCCACCTGCCTACTGAATCCATTTTTACTGTTAGTAGTGTTAGGAATTTTACCTTCCAGAACATTCTGCCCTAAGGGGATTTTAGACAGTAAATCTCAATTGAACAAGAAAAGACAAGGAACGTGGTGGAGATAATGGGATTGTTGCAAACTGCAGTTACCCTGTTCAGCTACTAAAAGTTACTCCTCAGGTTTTATATTCTGCTTCTTCTGGAAATTATCTGATAAATAACCAACAAATTGAACTCAGCAACTGTTCTCAAGTTTTAACAGCCTTCAAAGTAAATAATTATCTGTAAGTCCAGAAAAAGGATCTGTGTTCGGCATATTTGTATTTTTTCCCTAGTTGGGTCAGTTGATCTAATAAAAAATAGGTCCTGTCTTGTTTCATTTATAGCTTTTGATTAACACAGCTGTAGAAACTCATTGCTACATTTTTGTTTCTGCTTGCCACCAGGGGGAGGACTCTGCTCACTCATCTGAGATACGATTCAACAAATCATAATTAAAAAAAAAACCACAACAACTCTGATTCAGAATAGCAGAGTACAACTTTGTGATTTTTCTAGGCATACTTTCACAGCAGTTCTGCCCTTGTCTTATCTCTGCAGTGAAATCATAGCCTGCAATACGTACGTAGTTTGTCCCAAAGCTTTGCTTTGCAACATGTTCTGATGTCAGAAGCAACACTGCCTCAAAGCAATATTTAGAAAGTACTCTGTCTGTGGAGATCTCCCTCTGATAACAGATGTGCATCCTTTACCTTTAAGACCATTTTTATTCAAAACTCACCTCCTTCGCTTCTTTGATGTGCTCCCTCTCCTGTAGCATTTTCTGCACTCCATCCCTAGCTAATTCTGTCAGAGAAAATAATCAATAATCCTTTTTTCTTTGCTATTTGGCTGCCTCCTTTCTCTCTAATCCTTCCTGCCCTTTGTATGCTCAGACATGGTGAGCTGGTACAGTTTCCCCATCCTCCTTTGTATTTGCTCTTTTCTAGACCATGCTTTTGCCCTCCTTCTTTAACAAGGAGCTTGGCACTTGCTAGCTGACTTGGTATTTATTTGGGGTGATAGAATATGACATGAGTGCTGTCACTTGACGTGGCTTGATGTGAGGGGCAGCTAGTTAAAAAAATAAAAAAGCCTGTTTACGTACCTGGAGTGAAGGCTAAACTTACTTTTGGTCTGTTATTTACACACAAATATTTTTCTCTTGCTACCTGCCAGTTTTATACCTGGGTATTTTAGGTACTAATTCCTAATGCAGATTCTTGACGCCCTTCTGTTGTTTGATTCAGATCAAGTGACAAATCCTGGCTGGCGTTTTCTGCCATGCAGAGGCATACATCTTGAGCTTTCATCTGAGAGCTGTTGTATGTATGTTGTGTAACTTTATGCTTCCTACACATCAGTGTTTGTTGTAGTTCAGTAAAAAATGAATTATACCCTGTAGCAGCTCAACAGTGTGCAGTAACCAAGGTCTCAGATTAGTTTGCCCTCATCAGCTTCATTTTGTGTGCATATCCATTTGCACATAACTTGCACTAAATCTCCGTATTTACATAACTTCTTTAGCTACATCCCAGAAATCTCCTCAGATTCTCCATTTATGGGGATAAAAAAACCCAAATACACTTCAAAATTCTTAGTATAGACCCAAAGAAGTGCCAGGCCAAATCAATCTCGTGTAAACAAACGTTGTCAGCTCCCTTCTTCCCAGAAACAACCCACAGAGGAAAAAATGCAAAGTTAATTAAAGAGTGACTAGATTGCAGCTAGCCATCTGGCTGCCTGGAAACAGAGGTTGCTTTGCACACCTGGGGCTGAACAGGCTTTAAGGAAGTGTCAGCTAGAGGCTCAGGAAACCTTTCTTTAGCCATGTTTTACAGCAGGGAACAAAAGTGCAATGGGCAAAAGCACCAGCACTGCCAGAGTATTCTGTACATCATTCTGGCATGCTGAGATTACCCAGTCAAATGCACTTTCATCCCCAAGTCTGTCTGTCTTCATATCTGCCTTGTATCAAACTGCTAACGAGCTTCATTCACTGTCCTCACATCCAGCTTGTGTATGAATA